AATCATGAAGTTTGATTGTAGGTTGACCATATTTGACTTTTACCCAATATAGCTGATTTTTAGTCATCTGAGTAATTGACTGAGCAATTTTGATATGCAAGACTTGAAATTTGGCATGAGCATTATTGAAGACCTATAATGAACCATGGAAGTCACTTGAGGAATTAAAAGTCCAATTGTCTTTTATAAAACCAAAACCCTAATTTGTGGCCTCAGTGTTAAGAGATGAGTGTGTCTGATAAAATCTTGGAGAAGCCTTGAGCATTTGAGATCTTTTGTGAGTAATTCCTTGAGAAGAGAGAGGGAAAATTTTAGGGTACAACAGTCGTGCCCTTCTGTTTTTTTGTTGAGCTCATTGAGACATGATGAACACAATACTTTGAAAAGAAAGGGTTTCTCATAGGTCTCTATGAGTGGATAGGTGCTTTGAGTTTGTGGATTTTCACAGAATTAAAAGGGAAATTGGAGGTTGGAAGTTGAAATTGAGTGGGTATTAGTGGGTGTTGATGGGAATTTGGGAAAGGGAAAGAGTGGGACGCTTATGAAGGGTGAAGGGTTGAGTGGGTTTTAATTTATGAAAGTTATTTGAGGAAGATTGGATGAATGAAAAGGAAGAAGAGAAAATGAGGGTCCGAGTTTACACTTAAAACTGTTTCCGTGTTATAAGACCGTGGCGAGGGCCATACGTATTGGAAGTCGTGGTGAGGGCCACACGTATTGGAAGCCGTGGCGAGGGCCACGAACCTGTGGCGAGGGCCACATGTTGAAAACTCAGAAATATTTTAAACATTCTCCCATGTACAACAATGATTCAGTAGAGAAAAATTATAGAAAAATGGACATACATGAATTAAATAAAATGCCATAATTAAATTGAATACTAAAAATTTCTACTGTATCAAAAAATGCGGAAAAATACAAAATAGTAAGGAAACCATCAAATCTAATCTAAAAAACAATGTATATCCTAACTTAAGAAAACAATGGAAATCCTAAATTTAAAATTAGTCCCTCCCCCCACACTTAAAACAAAACAATCTCCTCAATGTTTGAGTGTGAGACTCAGATGTGCAGTACTATTAAAAGAATCAACCACTACGTCCAAAATGAGGAGCAACAAAATAAATGTGTTGATATATGTTATCAAATTTCTCTGTCACTATGTCCATAAACTCGTGAAAATTAACACGCAAATATGTCAGCTCGTCTCTAATGTTATCATTGTCAGTTTGGAGTGCGTTGATGGTAGCAGTGTGATCAAGAGGTGGAGAAAATGGAGCAACAGAGGCACAAGAAGCTGGGTCACGGAGATGGCCTTCATTTGGGGGGGTGGTTCCATGATTGAAGAGGAAGCCAGAGGGTTGGCATGGTTTGGGGATGGAAAATTATGGTAGAATGGAGGGGTCTCATGGTCGATTTCAGCATCAGAGACATAGTTATGAAAGTTGTCATAAATTTGAGGTGTCTAAGGAGGAGTTGGTGGGTCATTTTAGGGTAAATACAAATCAAACATCCAGTTATTTCTGTCATGTACACTAGTCCTAGGATTTGGCAAGGTAAAAAGGTGCAGAACTTGATTGTTGATAAGAACTTCAAACTCATTTGAGAATAGGTTTCTAATGAAGCCAATGTTAAAACAGAACTGAATGTTCATGGGAAGGATTCCTCCTAGAGGGTCAAGGATGACAAGTGGTTGTCTCAACCCAATATCATTTTCAATCATGATTTTTAAGCCTCCTATTAAGATTGGTTCATGGTCAGCTTATGCTAGACGAGTAAAATTGGCTAACATAAAGGTAGCAACATTAACGGGACGATTTTGGGAAGCACAGTACATGATGAGAAGTTCATCTCTAGACATGGAGGTTATGTTTACTTCTTTTCCTAATAGGGAGTAATCAAGGATCTTTTAAAAGTAACTAATAGAAGGGTTATGGATATTTTCAGAAAACATGTTATTAGGCTCAGGATTATTATCTCCAGCTATGCTACCCCAAAAATATCCAAGCTCAAGGTCCAAAAGACGGTCTTCTTGGGTATTAGCAAGACATGTGGGCCACCAGGGACTCCTAAAAGGTTAGAAAAATCTCGGCTAGTATATCGGAAATCAACACCAAACATCCTAAAAATAATTAGGCCTCAGTTAAATCCTAATCCATGGCTAGGCATGAAAGTAAGCGCACTTAGGAATTCAAGGGTTAGCCTATAGTAAGAAATAAATCTTCTCCCTCCAGTAAATTTTTTCCAACCTATTTGTTCAAGAAAAAACATGACATCATCTCTAATGCCAATTGAGGTCATGGTGCGGCTATCAGGGTAGATAGTTAGTGCCATTTCTCTTTCAGCCAAAACTTCAAATCACCTCCTCTGATCTCTGCCTTTGAAAATGATATCCATATAGTCTACTTATTGCATCATGATAGTTAGTAGTTAGCTAAGTTAAGTTATCTTGAAAGTTAAGTTAGCCTGAATGTAAGTAGACGATGGTACTAAGTTAGTAATGACTAATTCTCAAGAATAATATAACAAATCAAAGAAAAAGAAAATAGTTAGAAATTATAAAAGAAAATTAAAATTAAAGTTAAAATTTGGGTTGTCTCCAACCAACCTCTTTGTTTAATGTTGTAATCTCGAAAAAATCAAAAGATTAATTCTAGGGGTTGTTGGGCGACTCTATAAGCTTTAGACTACAACCGTAGTCTTTGTTGTCAACACAATGATAATGTTTCAAGCGCTACTCATTTACGATAAATGGTTCACTAGATTTTCCCTTTATTTCTATTGCGCCATTTGGAAAAACATTGATAATTCCAAAGGGACCAGACTACCTAGAACAAAGTTTACGCGAGAAAAGTTTAAGTCTAGAATTAAACAGAAGTACTACATCACCCTTATTAAACTCTTTCCTCGATATCCGTTTGTCATGCCATTTTTTGGTTCTTTCTTTATATATCCGAGAATTCTCGTATGCGTCTAATCTAAGTTCTTCTAGTTCATGAATATCTAAAATTCTCTTCTCGCCCACGGTAGTATAATTTAGATTAATGATCGTAATGGCCCAATAAGATTTATGTTCTAATTCTACTGGAAGATGACATGATTTACCACAAACTAGCTTAAATGGTGTGGTTCCTATTGGGGTCATATAGGTTGTCCTATATGCCCGCAGAGCTTCCTGTAACTTTGAAGGTCAATTTTTCCTAGAGGTGGCAACCATTTTTTCTAAGATTTGGTTAATTTCTCTATTTGAGACCTCTACTTGCCCACTCGCTTTTGGGTGATAGGGTGTTGTTACATGGTGTCAGACTCCATATTTCAGTAATAGTTTTTCAAATATCTTTGAAAGGAAATGAGAGCCACCATCAGTGATGACAAGTCTCGGCACACCGAATCTAGGAAAAACTATATTCTTGAAGATCTTAATTACTACTCGTGTTTTATTTGTCAGACAAGCAATATCTTCGATCCATTTCAATACATAATCAACAACAATGAGTATGTATTTGTTACCAAAAGAAGATGTGAATGATCTTGTAGTATCGTGGGAGAACTAACTTTGGTGTTTTGTGTTTTATCGCAATTGTTGCGGATAGCAAGAGTCGCCACCGACTTTTCTTTTATCCAATAAAGGAAAGAGTGAAAATAACATGAAAGACCTTTTTAGAATTTTCTTGAGTTCGGAGGGTAGGTTATGAAAAGGGAAGGTGTTAGCATCCTTTTCATCCGTAGTTACCTATGGGCTCTTAGTTGCTAGCTTACTTTAAAATGCTTTGTTTGAAATGTGTTTGTGATCTGTTTGAAAGTATTTTTGAAAAGTGTCTTCGTTTAGGTGAACTTTGTAATGATTCTCGTCTCTATAAGAATGCACACAAAGTGTTGACTTTTGAAAATATTTCATTTGAAAGTGTTGGTGTGTTTGAAATGTGTTTTGAAAACGGTTGTGACAAGCAACTATGAATGTTCTACCTACTCAAAAAGTCTTAGTTCTTTTCCTCCTCCTTTAGATATTGCTATCTTACCATTGATTGATAAGAAACCCTATCATTGGATGTGAAGGGACGGGCGTGGGTCATCATATAGTCATAGCAAGCAACATTGTAGGATACCTTAACAATTTATCTTAAGGGTCTAAGATCGTTTACTGAAGGCAACATTGAAAGGTCATCGAGGGACTGCGATCTTGTATTCGAGGGTCATTGCTAAAGTATCCCACGTTTGAGGGACATGACTGTTTTATTTTAAGGCAACAAGTGTGGGTTAACCCTAGAGGTGTAAATGTGCAAGGTGTATTGATTTCATTAATTTTTGTCTTGAATTAAAGTTTTATATTTGTTGATTTTATCTATTGCCATACAAATCCTAATTACTAACATTTATATTGAAAGCGATAAATTGCATAAATGTAAAATTCTACGCTATTACATCATTTAGGGATGAGGATACAAATTTACAAATGGGGGATGAAAAGAAATTAAACCTAATTACTATTACAACCATATTGAATATTGCAAGATAAAATGTACTAGAATGTAAGAGGGCTATATGAATGGAAATGAAAATTGTTTTTGTTTAAGTTTTTATATGAAAGAGTTTTTTAACCTAATTAAACTTAGAAGAGAATAGCTCATTAGTCTAATTTAAATTAAGAAAACTAAACCTAAATTAAATAAGAAAAAGAAATAAATTAATTAAGAAAATAATTCTTAGGTTTTTTATGAAAAGGTTTTGACTTAAATAAACTAATATAAAGAAAGAAATTAATTAGTTAAAATTCCTAATTTCTAATTTAATTCAATTAAAATAAAAACTAAGTCTATATAAAATTATAAAAAAGAAAAGAAATTAAATTGGTTAAGAAATAATTTTTAGGTTTTTTTATGAAAAAGTTTTAACCTATTTAAACTTAATTAAAAAAAGATTAACTAAAAATCCTAGATCCTAAGTTTATTAAATCTATAGTATAAGAAAATGCATTCCACCCAAAAACCCTGTTTTGTCCTCTCGCTCCAAAATTACAACACGTGGATAGCTTTTTAGGGGTTCCACTTTCATGTGTTTTTAATACTATATTCTTCTATGATTTCACATTATGTAACCTCCCTCTCCACTATCCTTTGACCTGCTTCTCCAACCTCTCTATTCCTTATTTCGTTCAACCTAAATCGGCGGTTACAGAATACTCCGTTTCCACTTCTCCTTATTCCACTACCTCTGTGCAGCGGTTATGTTTTTCTTTAATCATGCTTTATTTTCATTCAACGTTAAAACTAACAGAATCTCAAATCTTAAAAGTTTCAAATTTCACATTTGAAATAATCAAATCCCTAAAATTTGAATTGCACAAAAGTTTCAAACCACAATGGTAGAAAATCCTTCCAAAACAGTGTTGTTTACATCACAACCTTCTCCTTCTCACCCTTCTTCCTCTTCGCTGAAATCGCCATAAGATCCACCATAGGTAGGTTTTACAATCGACTTCAATTCCAATTCCATTTTGCAGCTTGGGTGCTTAATTATTCAATACCAAAATTTGATCCCTTTTTGATATCTTTGAACTAAAGCGAGGGTTTGTTATTTTTATAACTATCAAGTTTTTTTTGCTTGCTTTTTTAATTTGTGAATGGAAATGTGCCACGAATTATGATTTTTTTTTCTATTTATTATTGCCTCAGGCCCCAGAGCTTTCCAATTCTCCATAATTTCTGGGTGGATATTATCAAATGTTTCCTGGTATACATCCTACATTGATTCCAAGGTTGACTCAGCCACAAATTGAGGAACATGGGAACCGTGGAGCTGGCATATATGTTATTCATGTTAATCCTTTTGATAGAAATATTACTGAACTTCCATACACCAAGATTTTGATTGCGAATTATATGAAAAATAATAATCAGAACTTTAAGTTACTCTTTTCCACTTCTCAAGGTTTTTTTCCTTACGATTTTTGTATAATCTGTATCCGGTGCTTTCGGTTTTTAGATGTTGTAGATATAATTGTTACTCTTTTAAAGTTAGTGTATCATTGAATTTTCTTGCTGCTATTGAATGTGCAGATACAAAAGCCTCTTCCACTGATAATGTTCATTGATTTCGGCTTCAGATAATAGAATAATGGTTTATGTATTGTTGTTGTTTTATTCTTAAAAGAATTTCAATCATTGGACATACAATCCATCAAAGCTGTCTGAATGAAATGATAAAACATTTCAAGTAAGTGTTCACACAGAGCTTGTAGCCTCCCTACTTCTCTGTATCTATTTTAATATTTCCCTTATTATGTTATTTTATTGTGTATCATATCAGGTATGCATGCCCTCTCTGTTCAAAATCAGTCTGTGATATGTCGAAGGTTTGGGAGAAATTGGACATGGGGATTCCTACTCGTTCCATTTGAGACATAGAAGATGGAGAGCTATGGGACTTGATTGGTATTCTTTGTTTATGTAGAGAATTTGTAACTTCATGATTGCTATTTGCTATACTAAATTGCTAATAGTTTTTGTTGTTTTGTCAGGTTTTTGATACCATGGCTGTGGAAATATCTGGAATTGTTAATAATGTTACAAAAGTCAATTTCAGTTCCTTCATGCCCATGTTTTGTATTATTGTTTGTGTTCTTTTGTAGATAACATATTCTTCTTGTCCAATGTTTGATTAGTGTAGTTGATTGGAAAAACTCCATTAGTGTAACTTAATAAACTTACCGATGGTTGTGTTTCTCGAGTCGCTGCCAAGCTCGAATTATGGAGTCATGCTCTAGTCTTAAAGACAGGTAAATATTCATTCTGAGTTTTTATTCATGCTTTTGGTTGAATTGTGTTTTGCATGTGTTTTGTCATCATGTGCTTGTGCTTGTACTTATGTATCATGTATATTTCATATGCAAGATTGGTTATAGAATGATTGTTGATGCAGAAGATATGGGGCTTATCACACCTGGACAAGTTGGTTTACTTCCAAATAAATTAGTAAAAGTGCCTTCTCTGAAACAGTGTTGTTTGGAAACAAAAAATTCATAATTTACACTACTATCATAGCATTAATTTTAGATCTTGACAATACATAATTTATTTTTGCAATTGATAAGTATAATATTTTGAATTGGGAAGCAAAAGAAAAGAATTATGAGTATTAGTTTATTAGTTTATTGTATCCCATAACTGACCGTTAATAACTGTTTTGCACGAAGAGTGTTCTCATTGAACCGATAAGTGGTAATACTAGTGATGGATTAGCCTTCATGGAAGATGTAATACGGTAGGAGAATTGACTTCGGTGTTTTGCATTTTATCGCAAATGTTGCGGATAGAAATAGTCGCCACCGATTTTTCTTTTATCTAATAAAGGAAAAGGTGAAAAGAACATGAAAGACCTTTTGAGATATTTTCTTGAGTTCGGGGGTAGGTTATGAAAAGCGAAGGTGTTAGCACCCTTATCATCTGTAGTTATCTACGGGCTCTTAGTTGCTTGATCACTTTGAAAATGCTTTGTTTGAGATGTGTTTGTGATTGGTGTGAGTTTGAAAATATTTTGAAAATGCCTTTGTTGCGGAAAACTTTGTAATGATTCACGTCTCTATAAGAATGCATACAAAGTGTTAGTTTTGAAAATAGTTTAAAGAGATGTTTGTTTTGGAAGATGTTTTGAAAGTGTAAGTGTGAAAATGGTTTTTAGTTTGGTGAGCAAGGAAATATGAGCGTCCTACCTACTCAAAAGGTCTTTTTTATTTTCCTCCTCCTGTAGATATTGCTACCTTACCATTGATTGATAAGAAGCCCTATCTTTGGATGTGAAGGGACAAGTGCGGGTCAATCGTATAATCATAGAAGTCAACTTATGAGACGCTTTAGAAATTTTCGTAAGGGACTAGATCATTTACCGAAGGCAACATCTAAGGGTCATCGAGGGACTACGATCATTTTTATCAGGATCTTTGCTAAAGCGCCCATATTCGAGGGACATGACTATTTTCTGAGGCAACAAGCGAGGTTTCCCTAGAGGTGCTTGTGCGAAGTGTGTTTTGATTGCATGCATTTTTGTCTTTGAGATTAGGGTTTTCTAACGGTTGATTTTATCTTGCCATACACACCCTAATTACTAACGATTATATTAAAGCGATAAATTTTCGGAAATTAAAATCCTACGCTATTACATCATTAGGGGGATGGGGGTACAATTTACAAATGGGGATGAAGTAGAAACTTAAATATTACAACCATATCAAATAACAATGAAGAAAATGTAAAAACAGTGTAAAAAGAAAAGAAAAAGTGTTTTTTAACCATTATGTGTCGACACATGCATCTTTGCATCGACACATAACTTTCCTTGCTCCTGTAAATCCAAACTAACTCAGTATGAGTCAATACATAATGGGATGTGTCGACTCATACACCTGTTTGTATCGACACATACGCGTTTTGTATCGACTAATGCACCTTTCATCCTTCTGTTTTGGGGCCTAGATAACAGTATGAGTCGATGCATAAGGCCATGTGTCGACTCATACCCTGTTTTGTCACTAGAATGAGTCTACCCATGTGGGTATGTGTCGACTCATGCTGCCATTTTTTTGCCTTAAACATTGTTTTATTGTCTGTGCAGGTCACTTTACAACATATGATTGATAAAAATAAACAGCAAGCAAATGGTTAGCTTCAAGGGGCAATGATTACATCATTTTATCTTCCAAAATGAATCATTAGTGGTGTATGAAAAAATGCAAAGTCAAGAAGACTTACCTTGAGACTACACTTGGTGTTTTGTGTCTGAATACTTTTCAAGAAGCTGTGAGGGCCTTAGTGAACCTCCAGGAAGTTGTTCCGAGTTGTTTGAACCACACCAACCCAGTCAAGTTGTACAATACTGGTTTTGAGTTTGAAAGGTGAAGATAATGGCACTATAGAAACTGTTCTTGTGTTTGAATAATCTGTATGTGATGTAAAGTGTTTGGCTGGTTGGTTTATAGGAGGATTTGCAAGATGAAATAATGGGTTGAGGTTCTGTTTTAGTGAATGAAAACAGAGATGGGTATGAGCATGGGTCTTTTGTGAATGAGTAGAGTTTACAAAGAATTATGTTTTTTCTCTTCTCTCTTCCCTCTCTAAAAAACCAACCCCTTGTGTATTGTGAAAACAATCTATTTGTAGATGAGTTTTTGCTGAGATTTGGGGGGGGGGGGGGGGGGACAAATAAGTTTTCGAACAGTTTGGGTATGCTATATCATTGCCTTTTAAATGAAGCTCTCATATGAAAATTTTGTGCAAACATGGGACTGAGATAATGCAGGCTTGGACTGGGTTGGTAGTAGCATAGCAGGGCTGTTTTTGCAACAGTTCTGGAGTGTTATGTAGACAGTATAGCAGGGTTGTTTCATAGCAGTACAACAAACTGTTTTTTGACATGGTTTTGGGTTGTTATATGGACATTACAACAGGCTTGGACTTGGAGCATATAGGACTTTGTTCAATTGTAGTTTGGACAACATTGTTTGGAGCATGACACAAGTTTGTTTTATGGACAACATAGTTGCAAAGTTTGGACATTCAAACAAGACAAAGCTTAGGGTTTGTAATCTTTCAAAAATGCAACCTTCTAATAACTTGAATTATTTGTAACACCTTGAATTATTTTGAATTATAATGGAAAAAGATGTCATGAGGTAATGAAATTAATCATATGTGTAGAAAATACTTAGAAAATTTTTCCAAGTCTAGCAAAGTTTGATTATTGAACTTCTTGATTTTTTATGCTCAAGTTTCATATTTTGAATGTCTTGATGAAATGAGAGGGCAAATTTTGGGGTACAACAGCTGCCCCTGTTCAATCTTCTTAAACCTGAAAAGTTAGATTGGCGGGTCCGCCATCCATGAATTGAAGGTGGAAGATGATTGAACACTAGAGTGCCCAGAAATTTACACCCGATGATGTGTTGATTGCATCAGGAATGGGCTTAGAGATGCCATTTGGAGAAATGATGAAAAGTTGTCAGAGATAGGCTTACAGATGCCATCCATAGTGACATAAGAGGTATGTTGTTTGGTGACTTCACTAGGGAAATAATACTAACCAAAAGAGGTCAATTAATTTCCTGTCTTTAATCTGGAAGAGATCAATCTAACCAGAAGAGGTCTTTGACTCTCCTGTTTTTAATTGGAAGAAATAAATCGAACCCGAAGAGGTCTTTGATTCATCTATTTTTAACTGGAAGAAATAAATCTAACCAGAAGAGGTCTTTGATCCGCCTATTTTTAACTGTAAGAAATAAATCTAACCAGAAGAGGTCTTTGATTCGCCTGGTTTTAACTGGAAGAAATAAATCTAACCAGAAAAGGTCTTTGATTCGCCTGTCTTTAACTGGAAG